GTCATCTGGGACAGTTCAAATATTTCACTTCTACTACTTAGCATCTTCATTAATGACTGCATTCCCTCTTTATTCATCCACTGGTTTACGTGTAAGAGTGTCACTGTGAAACAGTGGTGGGACTTGAATCAATAAAGATGGAAGGCTTTACGAAATAGGCATGGGGAGCGAAGGAAGAACGGAAGGCAACGCAGTTTCAATACCCTTAATTCCATGAGAAAGTATAGGTACATTGCTGCAAGCATGAATACACGAGATCGATCCTGATCTGCCGGTTCAAGCAGTTTGAGCTGGTTTTTTAATTCTTAGATTTGACATGGCTTCCAAAACTTAGCGAGGTACACATTTTCATCATTTTGGTTTTTCTCGAGTCAAGGTCGGCAAGTGCACAAGGCCGCTGGGCGCATGATATGCTAGGAGGTAGTCAGAAAGCCACTGTATATGTAAGTTAGCTGCGAAGTAATGGATGGAATCTACAGAATCAACAGTTACGAACGATGTAACGGTAGCATAAGAGGATGAAGCGAATTACTCATTGCAGAGGGTGAGCGAAAGCCTTGTATTCCCTGAGCACAACATTGACAGCTAGAAGACAGTTGCCTACATTATGTACGCACTGTAGAAATTGTAGTTTGTTTCAGGTCACTTCGAAAAGTGCGAAAACTGCATTTTACGGCAGTAAATTCCGAAGCTCGTCAAGGGTTGAACAGAAAATATGGACATCATAAGATAAAATATAATCCAGATGGTCTGGAATAGCTGCTACGAATGGTAGTTTTCCAATTGCGCCGGTTAAGGTTACGTTTCAATTATTGATGCCTGATTTTCGAGGCAGAAACGTACTCCCTTGCTTGTAGTCGTCTATAGGAACTATTTAAGCAAGCAGGTGCAAGACTGCAGCTCTGGGTTGGGTTGAACAATAGCATGTCCGAACGTCAAATATATCCCGCTGCCCGTAGGCAAATATATAGACATAATGAGACAAAGTATTCCATAATGTCTGGAGAAGCTAAAACCTATGACATTTCTCCAATTCCACAGGTAAATATTAAATTTCAATCACTGATACCGGATAACAGAAAATATTGGGCGACTGTCATCCAGTGAGTCGGATATGACTTTTGCTGTTCTAAGTTTTGTCTGTTCTGCTGAGCAAGTTCTAGTTTGTTGTTATTTATCTATATTTTTATTTTTTGCATTCGTCTGTACTGAAAAGCAGACTTCTATAGTAAACTTGTAGGAGCAGGAAAACTTTTCTAACGGGTCAAGTTCGCTCGCCATCGTTCTGTTGTTAGTTGGAAGTATACCAACAAGATCATAAGACTGTTCTGCATTTCCGATGATATATAAGAATAACAGGCCGTAATTTAATGTTAAATAAATTTTAGTCTACAAGTCTAATTCTACCGGTCTTTAACATCATGGCACCACACATAGAATATATTATATACAAATGTTTTCAGCGTTTCTGGTCATCTTCGATCCGTCTTTAGGGAAAAACATAGTATAAAATAAAATGTTACGGTATGCACCGGTATAGTCATATGCCAAGTTCATTACAGAGATTTCAGCCTGATAGTGGAAGTTGCCTCATAACTTCGTTCCAATGCGAACATAGTTCCACAGCAACATTCATGAACTGGATTGAATCAACCTCCATTGTTCAGAAGATACGCTGATGACATATTCGCAATTTATGAAAAGATACAGAGGCGCTCTTATTGGATCACATCAACATTTTGCATTGAGGAGAGGTCTTATTCATGATGGAAGTGGAACTAAGCGATTCGATACCTTTCTGGAGCTCACTGATTACGCAAAAATGAAAACCAATACACTCCAATAAGTTCCTGCCGTTCGATTCGAACCTCCTATTTTGCACGATCAAGCTTATATTTGGAGGAATTTCAGAAATGATGAAAATTCCGTAGACGACTAGTAGCAGAACCAATTTTTAATCAGCAAAAAGGGCGTATCACTAATAGAACTAGAAATGAACAACGAAATTTTAACGCCACACCTAAACGAAATGCTGCAGAGGATAGGGCGTGAGTGCAGAATACGGACGATGCTCAAGTATTAAAAAGCATTAGGGAACCACCTGGTGCGCGTCAAACCACTGAACCAGGATCTAAACAACAAGGTTGAATGCATCCTTACTTTCTGAACGTGGTTTGAATTACACAGGAGAAGCTGGCAATTCCACGGACGAGAAAGGAAGAATCTGCTTCTTCAGATTGAGAAGTCACAGCAGCGATGGTTTGAGCATGTGTTGCGAATGCCTCCAGAAAGGAAGGCTAAGCAGCTGTTCTTTGCAAATCCGACCGGCAGAAGGCCCAGGGGACGGCCAAGATTAACCTGGTGCAAACATATGGAAGGAGTCTGTTCCAGACTCCAGTTGTCTTTTGCCGAAGCTCAGACCTGGCACAAGATCGAGAACTTTGGGAGCTCTGTCTGATGCGTCTGACTCCGCGAACCGAAAGGAGAAGCGGCCATAGAAGATGAAGATGATGAACGGAAGAAGAGCATCTCGGTAATCTGACAAGATGGTGCAACCCCACATACCCAGAACGACATGAAGAGAAAGAAAGAAAAGGGCTAGGACAAACGAAAGATCCGCCTGTGATGAAGGATGAATGCGCACAGAACTCGGCACCCGTAGATCATGCAGTATGAGATTGATGTAGAATATTATGTGATCAGATGAAAGAAATCCGCTGAGAGAAACTTCATCTTCATCTTCATCTTCCATCGATGCTCAGAGAAAAAGTCACACTGCCAAATCACAGTACCATATCGCAGCAAAAACGACTAGTTCCTTTGAAGAACTTACCTACTGCACGAAATTCCCGATGCGACCATCATCCCAGTCAGCGAGTGGCAAAACTTCATGTACTATGGCAAGCCGAATAGATGTACCCAAGTATTTTGCGCTTCTCTTACCCTGCTCCAGGGCAGCGGTTCGGTGTTTGACTGACAAAAGGCTGCTAAGAGTGCCAGGTGAAAGACCGCCATATGGTAAAAGGGCCCGGATTTTCCTCCCGATTTTGTACCTACAACTGTAGAACATTGGCGACGGAAGAAACCTTACACCAACTAATAAAGGATGGCACAGGAATGACCTGCGTTATCCTTGGCATCTGCAAGAGAAGCGATGGCGAAAGGGGATTAACGGAATCAATCTGATCGACGGCAGATCCGATCTGCCCCGGAAGAAGAAAGGGGGCGAAGATCACAGGAGGAATACGATTTGTAGCCAGCAAACGCCGATCCTCCAAAACCGTCTCATGCTACACGAAGTCATTAAAACTGGGCACACTCTGCCTTCAACTGAACAAGAAGAGGACTTTAAAGATTTTTTTAAACCTATCCTCCCACAAGTACAGCGGACAAGGAAAAAATAGAAGGATTATATCAAGAACTGTAACAGGCATATTGCCCAATGTCCACATATACTCTCGTCATGGGAGACTTCAGTGCCAATGTCGGGAGGGCGCAGAGCTCGTCGGTAGGTACTGTACTGGTGAACGAAATGAACGAGGAGATATTCCGGTGAAATAATGGCAGAAACAAAATACCCTTACACTGGCAACACCTTGCGCAAGAGAAAGACCAACAGGAGATGGACATGGATCGCGCCAAACTCTGCGACGAAGACAGAGGTCATGCTGCTTCTGTTCGATCAACACAATATCGTCTGAGACATAACAATACTGCCATCGTTGAACACTGGCAGTCACACACTCACTACAAACTAGTGATCAACCAATTAATGGGAGTGCAGGACGTCATCGTCCCATCGAAAGCGGGAAGGAGAAGCAACGGTCGGCCGGGTAGATAGCCAACTCGGGATTCATCGACGGGAGATGGTCAGCGACGATCGTCGAACGATGCCTTCACATAGGGAATAGGCCGTTTGGTCGCCAACCGCTGTGGTGGAAAAGCTATGTTCCGAGCCAGGAAGGCCGCGCTTTGAGGGAGAAGACTCGAAACTGTCAGGAATTCAGGGTGTGTTGCTTCCGGCGAGATTCGTCGCCGCTTACCAGTCGATTCAAGTGGTAGTCCAAGTGAATGTTTTTAGCATTACTGAACGTATAAATTCGCTATCAGTGAGATTAGGGAAACGCGATGCAAAACCTTTAATTTCCTATGGGTACACAGGTTGCAAACGGGCCTGAGCCGCCGAGAGAGATATTTCACTTTTCTG